AGAGAGGAAGCTGCAGCACAACAATACCAGAGAGGTGTGGAAGGGGATGAGGACCATCACTGGCTATAAAGAGAAGAACAGCCAGGCAACATCAGGTGATGTGGACAAGGCCAATGTTCTACAACAGGTGTTGTAGTCCTGGAAAGGCAACAGGCCCGGATGGTGTGTGTCTGAGGCTGTTAAAGGACTGTGCAGCCCAGCTGCCTGAGCCTCTCCAGAGGATCTTTAACTTAAGCCTTCAAACAGGGAGGGTCCCGGTACTGTGGAAAACATCATGTCTTGTTCTGGTACCTAAAGTAGGACGACCGGCTGAGATAATTGACTACAGACCCTCACATCACACATCATGAAGACCCTGGAGTGGCTGCTTCGCCACCTTCTGAAGCCACAGGTTGAACATGCACTAGACCTCCTACAGTTCGCCTACAAAGACTATATTGGAGTGGATGATGTAACTGTGTCTCAAGGACAGTGATGAGCAGCACTGGGGCCCCACAGGGGACTGTTCTGGCTTCGTTCCTGTTCACCCTGAATACAGCCAACTTTAATTACAACTCTGAGTCCTGCCACATTCAGAAATACTCGGATGACACAGCTATTTTGGCGCATATCAGGAACGGGCAAGAAGAGGAGTACAGGGATCTGACGATGGCCTTCAGTGAATGGAGCGACAAGAACTGCCTCCTTCTGAACACCTCCAATACCAAGGAGATGGTCATGGACCTTCGGGGTCTACGCCCACCCTTCAGCCAGTCAACATTAGAGGGAAGGACATTGAGGTGGTGCACACTTATAAATACCTAGGTGTTCACCTGGACAGTAAACTGGACTGGTCCCTGAACACAGATGCCATCTACCGGAAGGGGCAGAGCCTTTTTCCTCAGAAGGCTCAGGTCCTTTGAGGTCTGCAGTGAAATGCTGCACGTTTTATCAGTCAGTGGTGGCCAGCGTACTCTTTTATGCTGCAGTCTGCTGGGGTGGCAGCATGTCAGACATGGAGACTGGACAAGCTGGTCAAAAAGGCTTGGTCTGTGCTTGGCAGGAGTCTGGACTCACTCAGGACTGTTGTGGAGAGATGTATGCAATGTAAGATGGAGGCCATCTTGGACAATACCAACCACCGTCTCTACAACATTCTGGCAGGACAAAGAAACAGCTACAGCTGCAGAACAGAGAGGTTCAGGAGATCCTTTGTTCCCACTACCATCAGGCTATACAACACCTCAGCCAAAGAAAGTGGATTAATCTAATTATTATTGTTCATTTGTCATTAACTGTTTTCATTATTATTACTATTAATATTATTATTATCAACAATGAGCTAATGGACACATGAATTTCCCCTAGGGGATAAATAAAGTACGTATCTATCTATCTATTAGTGATATACACACACTAAAAAGTGGACAAAACAACCAATAGTTTTTTTTATTGCCATTGTGCATGAACTTTGACAATGCAGATTACACAAGGAGTATCATGTAGTGAGTCTATGAACACTCTGACCTGCCAGTGATGTGCTCTGGTCACTCTCAGTGCTGGTTTTGTATCGGTTGATGGCTTTAGCAAAGAACTCCTTGCTGATCCAGCCCCCATGCTCAAAACCAAGGAATGCAAGATGAGACGCTTGAGTAAAAGAATGGACATCATCCAGGAGGACAACACCCTTTTTTTTTCCTATTATTGCACACATCTAGTTTACCAATGCCGAGTATATGTGGGACACTGGAAAAGCTATAGCTCTTGGTAAGGTGCTGAAATGTCTTTAGAAACCACAACACTGCATTGAGCCTCTTTAAAAGCCACATATATGCAAAATATGAATGTAACATCAATGCAGGGATTCCACAAGCACACCAGATATCAAAATAAATGTGGATTATGTTTCACTCTTGCAAATGAAAGTGGTGAATCATTTACACTTGGGCATGGCAATGTTCATCTAACAGCCTAGAGGACGGTGTTCTGCACAGTATATATGAGATGTTCATAAGTTTTTGTTGCTTGGTGGTACATCAGGATGCCCATGACAGTCTGTAATAACATACAGACAGTGAGAGGGAGGCAGGCAGGTTGATCCTTTATCTGTGATTCCACTGTATCTGCAACCAGACATCTCCTCGTACTGTAGCTTGTGTCTTACAGCAATCAAATCAAAAGGCTGAGATTTTAGGAATGAATCATCATCATCATCATGAGTCTATTTATGTCTTGGATGCTAAAATCTCATGGAATGTAATCAATGGAAAACAATTATCTGAATTATCAGTCTAAGTTTGGATATGCTCTGAATGCAGACTGGAGATTAAAGTTGTACAACCATTCTTCTTGTATGGGGAGACCTAGTTTCTAGCTTGAACCACACTGTGTGGCTACATCCACTGTTGCCTGGGGCTGGGCATGGAACCTGATTACTTTTTGCTACTAATAGAAACGTGTTTGTGCCACTGATTATCAGAAATTGTGAAGTGCCAAAAGCTTATTCTCTATTCAGATTTAAAGCTGCATTAATTGATTTTTTATCCACCTGAAAACAAAACATTGGACAGAAGGCATTGGCATTTATTTTAAATGAAATAAATGAGTGACCCATTGGCTTAACTCGCTGAAGTGTTTGTTTTTGTTGTGTTTGTTAGTTTTCATTTCATTTGACTGATTTTTTGAAAAAGCTCTAATGACCCGTAGCTTCTGGTGAAAAAAGCTTAGCTTGTGATTCTGTTTTACAGTATTTGACATTTTGATTGCTGCTACAGTTTACAGCAAGACTGTGTGACTTCTAAAAAGGAAATAAAACATTCCTCTTCTTGCAACTGAAAATGTTAATTTATGAGGACTAAACATCCTTTTGCTGACGTAATTAGTTACAGTTTGCCGACTTTACGATTTGGATCTGCTTGTGCTGCTGTTACTCTATGTTTCAGCAGTTACAATGATTCTGTAACTGGTACTTGTGCCCACAATGACACAGTTCTGCAGGAATTACACCTGCAAAGAATAGAGAAAACAGCTCCAGATGCTTTTAGGTCCCAGTAACTTTCCAACAAATTACTTGTTAATTTTCATTTGGTCATTCATTTGATTGTATTTTTCAAGTAAAAACCTTAATACATCAGTCAGTCTGATACCTTATCACCACTGTGTTGTGCTCAGTAAAACTCTTCCAACTTTAGGGTATTATCAGCAGAATGTTTATTTATGTGATGTATTTGTTTATAGAGTTCCTATTACTGGGCAATATATATATTTTTTTAAAATTCACAAATATTGATATGGACCTCAGAAATCCAGTATCAGACGGGTCTAGTCTCTGTTGGGTCAGATTAATGAGGTTTAATTTATTCCTACCTTAGAAAAATGTTTATACAACTCAACCTCCAATCAGCACACATATAGAACCAAATGCTTTGATTGTATTGTCCTGTGATGGTACTGCAGATTTGACCACTTGTCAACAGCCACTAATTGTCATCAGACTTAAATTACAGACTGCCACTGTATGTCTTCCAAGTCTCTGTCCAGCATGCTTCCATCAGTACACACACAGCCATATATGCCACCAGTCCCAGTGTGTGTGGTCCATACAGTATCCCACCACCAGCCATTCACCCTCTGCAGCTCCTGTGTCAGGTCCAGTCTCAGACTGGGCTCTGATCAGAAAGGAATGATTTGTCTGGGAATGAGAAAAACCAGGAGAAAGTGACAGTGAATCTGCTCTGCTTTGTCCAGCTGCAGATATCTGAATGGACATACATTCCAAATTACCTGAGTATAGACTCTGATTGTGAAATACCTGAAGCAAGGCCAGATGCAGACACTGTGCAACCAATTTGTGGCCATTTTCGATTTTTTAGTCTTTGCCCAAATTATTTGCTCTTGGCATTTTTTAGACAGGCTTTGATAATGTGATCTGGACAGTGTAAACATAATCTATACAGAGTACAGCTATTTTTCTTGTTCAGTACATAACACAGCAATACACAGTTCTGTACTTTTTAACAAGCATTTTTCTTTCTTATATATATTATGTGCGCACACACACACACACACACACATATATATATATATATATATATATATATATATAGTGTATATAGTGTCCATACATATGTATATACATAAATGTGTTTACACACATTTGTCTGTATATATATACACACAGTATATATGTATGTATGCATGCATTCATGTATGTATGTATGTATGTATATATGTATGGTGTGTGTGTGTGTGTGTGTGTGATGGTATTATGTATAGTAGTGTACTTCATAGTCATAATATATTAATATATAGTATAGTATATAGATATTATATAAGGGTTTGTTCCTAACACATTAATTTGATTAATTAATTATAACAAAATTAAACGATATCAAAAAAAAAAATTAACACAGATTAATTGCACTCTATGATGCCCCTTGTCCCCATACAGAATGTGGGAAGTCATCTGTCTATGTCCTCTCTATAAATACTCTTTTTGTTTCCAACAGGAATGGCTCACGCAGTTCACGTGGCTGAGATATTGCAAAGAAAGGACCGGCATGGGCTGTATGTTCTGCTCTCAGTGCAGGGAAATCTAAGTTTGTCAAGTTGATCGACAACTTGAAACATGACACTGGTAAAGTGGGACAACACCATGAAGCAGAGACTGTGCAGGGACAGATGCACTGATGGAACTGCAGCACCACTGACCTTCTGTTTACATCTGTACATTTATTTTATGGTGCACCATTTAACTAAGCAAATATTATATTGATACGCGATTAATGTAGATTAATTAATCACAAAGCATGTAATTAATTAGATTAATCTTCTTAATCACTTGACAGCCCTAATATATATATACATATATATATATATGTATTAATAGGGAGATAGAGAGAGAGAGCTTATTCATACTGTGATTGTTGAAACAGAAATCAACACATAATTTAATCAGAAATAAACTACAAGGTTTACCCCCCCCATCCCCCATCCCCATCCCCCACTCCAAATACTCTCCATTCCTCCTCCGATGTCTGCATTTGAAAACCTTAAACCATCAGGTCCTTCTCTACCAACAACAGGTGCATGATGCAGGACAGGAGATTAAGGTGGCAAGTCTTTGTGGTGGTGGTTAATCAGGACATTGTTGCTACGTCATGCAGAGATAGAAGGGAATGGAGGGGTCAGCACAGAGAGTCGGAAACCCCCCTGGCAGAGCAGAGGGAGGTGTTGGTGGGACAGTTAGTGGTGATGGTTGGTGGTTGCTAGCATGTATCCCGGAGCCAGAGGCCAGCTCTGCTCAGGTCTAGCTGATGGCTGGGCTGTCTGTCTGGGGGTCTGCAGTCTCTGAGGGCATGTTGGGCTCCTCCGCAGGGTCGTCTGTGCTGGTGCTCGTGGAGACCTGAGAGGGGGCGCCATAGAGCAGTGTAGCCCCTTGGGGCTCTGAGCCGGGGCCTGCCTCCGCGTCGTCCTCTTCGGGCTCTGAGGCCGGAATGAGGTGCAGGGAGCCGGGGAGTTTGACAGGGCAGAATGCCGAGCCTGTCGGGATGAAGTTGACCTTGTTTTTGTCGGGGCAGGAGAAGAGGGGGACTGACGCCGATGTGGACTGCCTTGAGCTGCAAAGAAACACAAGTAGTGTCAGTGAGGATCACACATTGCCGAGGCAGCAGGGAGGTGTTTAAACTCAACACAAATATCACTCTATACCTCATCTCTTCAAAAGCTTTAATCTTCTCACAGCCCTCTGGTGGCTCTCGCTTGAACATGTAGCTGTTGTTGGGTTTGGGCGAGGAGGCGAACTTGGGCAGTGGTGAGCTGCTTCCACTGTCTGTGAACACAGACACACAGGGTGGAAACAGGTGTCAGTGTCATCAACGGCAGCAGCATTTCTCGAAGTGTTTGTGGAGTATTTGTCCTCTACTCATCTGTCTCATGAAGTATTTGAGCGTATTAAACCTACACTGACTCTGACTCTCCCCTTCAGCAGCACTCGATGTCTCCTGTCTCATGTGACGCTTTTAAAGACACAGTCTGTAACTTCTACCTCTAGGTGTCTCTCAATCAAAACAATAACAAGAGAAGGAGTTTGGTGACATTGTGAAATAGCGTGGGATCATGGGAGCTTCACAGCACAGTTGTGTTCACTGCAACACACAAAACAATATGAAAATGTATGTACATGCTTATATATGCACAGTACTAGTTAATTAAATATGTAGGTATATGTGTCTTAATTAAATATGGGAGGGCTCTAGCATTTAATTTCTACAATCTGGCTTCAATTCACCACGTCACAATCTGCATCGCTAATTCTCCAAAATGTTCGTATGCATGGGTCAGAGTTGGCATACAGGTGCACACATTTTCCCCATCAAGTTTGTTTTTATAAATGCCAACCTTTGCTTGGGAAGTAGTGTACACATCTTTCAGGCCCTGTTTTGTGCGTACACAATGGTTATAAATGAGGCCCCACATGATTAAAAAAAAAAGGCAAAACACTGAATAAAGCAGTTTCACATTTCTGCTGCTAACATCTGCTCAGCTTTTTTCTTAAGATCCAGACGTCCGTGACCAAAATCCTTCATCCGGTAAAAATATTCTGGTAAAAATATACTGTTAAAAATGACGAGGCCTAAAAAGTGTAGCGAAAAATGTGGCTTAAAAGTGTGAAAAAGTGAGCTTTTGTCAGACAAACACAATACTGACAAATCATAGATTTCTCTGATTTGAAAATTGATGGAAATATTTGGAATAATGTAAGAACACAACTCAAAAAATAACATGGGTCTAGTAGTTTTTAGACCTTTAAAATGCGGAAAAGTTACAGATTATAACTTTTAACCTAAGGGACAAACTGGCATTGTTCTAAATCTTTAATACTGTCAACAAATCCAATGAAAAGAGAAATCCAACACTGTTGTAGTCGTCTCTCCTACGCTGTCTATGGCACTGGTTCCTACTGAACATGTAATGAAGGCTAATAAAATGAAGACTCCACATCCAAATTACTTATTCAGGTGGCAGAGTCAATCAGTGTGGACACTTTTTTATTTAAATGAGGATCAAGAGGTTTACAGCTGACCGTTTCAACAAGCAGGGTTAACTACACCGTTCCTGTTTCAAAACTTTCCAAATTTTCCAGACTTGTCGGTAGATTTTTTAGACCATATTCGACATCTGAGGACAAATAGGATGTTTATTATGTAACGGTTTTAAAATAGTTAACATGCATGTTACTTTCTGACTATGTCTGCTATTACTGTGCATTCAGAAAATATTCAGTGTAAGGGAATTTTCTTATTTGTACACTGTGAATGACTAACTCAGGGTAAAAAGTCAGTGTGAGGCCCTAGGTCACAGTGCCACAGCTACTGCATTAAATCTTACAGGCCTTGAGACGCTCAGGTGGCTCCTCCAGACACAGTTGTGGGTTTGCTGATACTGCTACTACTCTGTTGATAACAGAAGACCTTGGATGGTCAGCAACAAGTAGCTTGGTGTTCTGAGATCAGAACCTGGGCGTGTTTAAATCATGTTTCCTTGTTTATGGTTAATGGACCAATAGTGTATTCAGACATCCCTCTTCTCCCTCTTCTTTTAGGTATTTGACAGAATAGAGAGCGTAAGTTATCTATGGTGATCTGCATCAAGACTAGCCACAGGGGTTCTTTCTTCAGAATTGAGGTGACATCATTCACAGGAGTCTGTATTGATGATTCCTCCTTTCTCCTTGATCAAGCTTCAATAAACATTCTCAGCATTAGACATCCTGGACTCCAGCGCTCTTTCTTCACTGAAGTACCTTGACCACCGATGATAAGATTTCTCCCTAACAAATTTGCGTCACGAACAGGATTTCAACAGAACTACAGCCTGGTAAGTGCAAAACCTTAAAATCATGCCTTACCATGTCTGTTTGATGAAATCAAAAGAAAACGGTATAATTTTAATTTGGGAGAAACAGTTAATGGCTAAAGAACCTATACCTTTCAAAGCAATTTGATAATACTGTAATAGAAATTGAATTAAATTGTTTAAGCGGTTAAAAAATGGGGTGTGTATTTCTGATCACCCACTGTGCCACTGAGTGGCCGTTGTGGTTTTTTGGGACAGCTCCAGGCTGTACCCGACACAGGGGCTCACCTGAGGTTTAAACCATAGAAAAGACGTTTTTGGGGTAAAGTAAAATAGATCTATTTTCATTTAAAACCAAGGTCGGAGATCACCTGCTCTGTGTCCCATGGGAAACATAGAGGATTTCTGATCATGGAAGCCTAGGCGCCAATAGAGACAAAAAGTTGTGTACACAGGACAAAATACATTCTAATTTTGTCTAACCTTCAAACCAGCACCACTGATAAAGGAATAAAGCATTGAGACCTTGATGCAGCTGAAATGTTGTTGAATTCTATGCATTTTTATTTGATGCATAATGGGCAACGATTTGTCCAAAGCAGAAAAAACAAGGCTGAGTCTTCAGGTGAATTGGTCAGTTCACCAAAAAGTAAAAAAGGCAATAAAAACTAAACAACAAATAAGCAACAGGCAGTCAAAAGTCAACCTGTCGTTGATAAACATGTCAAAAACACACCAGCACAGGAAACTGTAGCACATTTTCATGATTTCCCTGCAAGTGCCAGCTGGCTTGGTTGGCAGGTTGAAAGGGTGGAATTATGTTTTTTCACATTTCTCATGTGTGAATGGACAAGTGGTTCATTTGAGGCAGACAAATTGACAGTGGCTGCTGTGAAGGTTAACCCCAATGTGGGTCTTGGAATTATTCATACAAGGAATGTATGTGGCTGTCAGTTGCTAATCAGAGATGCGGGGTCAATGTGTGTGAAATAGCTGACTGTGTGACTGCGTTTCATATTCCTATGATGGAGAGTGTGCTGCAAACAAGAGCCATAGAAATGATGAAGATCAAACAAAAACATGCAGATAACATAAAAGCGTGCACAAAAGTAATGATTCATGGCTGGGTGAAACGGCAAGCTAAAGCTGTTACACCCCAGGATTTGCCAAAACCTTTGAAAGATTCTAGATTGGAATGGCCAGAGCATGTAGAAAACAGAATGACCATTACTAACTGCCTGCAATTGAGTGCTACTAACACTAATACACCCACTCACAACAGCAGAGAGATACTACAGCAACAGAAAGAGATGAGGCGAACGTGGGAGTAGCCTGGGTTAGACCACCAGATAGGGTTGAGGAAAAGGAGCCAGAGCCTAAGCACACAGACATAAGGGAACTTAGAAGTTACACAAATAAGACCAGTGTAGGAATAGGTAACCCGTCCTAAACAACCAGTGGGACCAAAGTGTAGATTAAGCTGAAGTAAGAAAACAGAAAACACAAGCTCAAGTGAAGACTCAGACCCAGATGTGACTGCTCTCGACGGAGACTATGAGGACAATGACATACAGCAGAGTGAACATGGAGCCAGACAGAGAGAGGAGTGGCTTCACTCAGGTCTGTAGATAACAATTTATGTCATCATTTTAACATACATGTCTGCTGTCCGCCTCAGACACTTACTGTAGATTTTATGAACATCGTGGAATCTTTTGACCTCACCCAGGTAATATAAGAACCCACACACTCAAAGGGCCACACTCTTGATTTAGATTTGTGCAGTGGTCTCAGCTCTGACAACTTTGAGACCAAGGATATCTGTGTGTCAGATCACAAAGCAGTTTTATTCAGTATGGTTTTATCCCTGCCGGCTTTATGAACAACGCACCTGTCTGCCGCAGGGTTTTTAACTCAATGTCTGCTAGCAAGTTTTCAGAACGTTTTATTTCTGCCTCTTCAACTGCCTTTCATCCAAATTTTAATACAGAGGAGCTGGTCTCACATTTTAATCATAATTGTCAGTCTGTCCTGGATTCTGTTGCTCCTTACAAGGTTAGCAGGTCTCCCTAGCCTTGGCTAACAGAATCAATATTGGTCTTAAAGAGGGACTGTAGAAGAAAGGAACAGAAATGGAAGAAAACTGGTTTGCAGGTATTTTACGAAATCTGGAAAAATGCATTGATACACTTTCAAAAGGCGGTTAAAGACCCAAGAGCTGCATTTTATTCTAATCTGATTTCAGCAAATCTTTCAAACCCCAGAATGTGCGATAAGTTTTCAGTCTAATTTACAAATAAAGTTAAGGACATAAGGCAACAAATAACACTAGAAGGGAAATCAACAGTTATTTTCACAGTTTTGAGCCTGTGTCCTTGTCACTTTTATCTGACACCATATCCCACATGAAATCAACTACATGCAGTCTTGATTTTATTCCCACCAAGTTTCTCAAAGAGGTTTTCAACACAGTTGGAACCAGCTTTTTATTAATTATCAATAGCTCCATAGAAGAAGGCATTTTCCTTCTGCTTTTAAACTTCTTTCAAAGAAACCTAACCTTGACCCCTCTGATTTTAACAATTTTAGGCCAATTTCAAAGCCTCAATTTTTATCCCAAGTTTTAGAAAACTGGTTTCTACACAACTTTTATCTTTCATGTCTCAAAATAACCTCTTTGAGAAATTTCAATCTGGTTTTAGAGCTTGCCATAGCACGGAAATGGCCCTCCTTAAGGTAACAAATGACCTACATTTAGCAGCAGATAGAGGGGAGAGTGTCATTTTGTTTCTTTTAGATTTGAGTGCAGCCTTTGACACAGTGGATCACACGGTTTTAATTGATCATCTTAGAAATTGGGTTGGTATCAAGGACACTGCACTTTTATTTTATTTTTAGTTTTATTCTTATCTCTCAGAATTAACCTTTTTGGTCACCATAGGTAATTACTCATCTTCTACCTCTAACATTGCC